TCAGCTTGGAAGAATTAATTATACTGTTGACATTGCCCTTCTCTTTGGATTTTACAAAGAGAACAATATGTTTTTAGTAGAATTTTCCTTTCTTTATGCCTTTTGTTTCAGGATATATTAATTTGATTTCATTTTTTATTGTATCTCATAAAAAAAAGAACTGTGTGTGTTGATGGACATTGACATATTGTAATTTTTTCTATAAAAAAAAGAAAATATTTAAAGTAAATGTGTCTTTCTTTCTTGTAATTACTAATTTACTTTAGTTCATCCACCCAGCACATTGCTGTATGTGTGTATGGCTGTGTGTAACACTTTTCACCAAGAATACAGATACTACACTCTGATCCCAGGCAGAATTGCCCATGAGTAGTATTCTGATATATGACAGAGTGCATAAATATTATGATTCCAGTCATAAGTCTCAGTTATCATTAATCAATAATCATTTTTTACAAGTTCTTTGTTTGTCAGCCTGCATAAAACAGTGCCTATCCATGCATATAAATTTTGTGTAACTGGTATCTCAGGGATCAAAACTTTCCTATAGATGTCATGCATGACTACCAACTTATTCAGAAATATCTAAACTGTCAGCTGTATACAACCACATTCTCAGATCAATGGTTAAAAATATTTTTGAGTGAGTGAAGTGTTTGGTTCTTAGTGAGGACCATTCTTCTTTGAACTTTGTGGAGTGGCATTATAGAATCATAAATGAAGAACTATACCAGATAACAGAAACCATATCAATTGAGGATTTCCACTACCAACAACTAAAATAGAGAGCACTTGTCACTCAAAGAGAAAATAATGAATTAATCAAAACATTCATGTTCCACATTACTTCAAGCAAAAGGTTAGAAAGGAAACCCTCATCAATACTGAAATAGCAATAACAGTTACTGAATTTGAGAAACCTATTTTCCTGTTCAGTCAAGGAATGCCAAAATGTTTCTTTATAAGGAAATGGCAAATATTACCATTACCATTAGTGTTGATCTTTATGTAAACAACCCTTTGGTTTATAATAGATATTATGCTATTTTTTAAAATTGTACATTTAATGTTCAGCTTTGAAATAACGGAAATAGTTTCTTATAATTTCATTCTCAACTTGCACATTTGCTGACATTAAAAATAAATAAAAATAAAAATGAGTTAACTAAAAACAACAAATAAAACAATCAGTGGCCTGTGGTTCTTAAAAAAAGCTTTATCTGTAATGATTGCTTTTGAGTTCTAATTAATTGATTACTTAATTGATTCTTGATATTTCCATTTAGCTGAATATTTTAATTGCAAAAGTGAATCAAAGATGTTTTTTTCTGATTTTTTTCTTAAGTATCTGATAATATTTTTATTTTGAAATTTTTGTTTGAATGAAAAAAAATTCTTTGCTTCAAACAATGAATTCTGAGGTTGTGAAAAAGAATCAGTTTAATGCTTTTATCTTAAGAAGAATTAGGATAGAAGTTTAAAAATTAAGCAAATTTAGAAATGAATTTAATTTTCTTGTAATTATAAATATCTTTCAGATTTTTTTTATGTACCCAATTAATTCTATCTTGTTCTTAAAATAGATGTTTTGTATGGTTTATGAAACATTATTCTCAGTGTATGGTATGTTTTGATGATCTGATCTCTTTATTAAGCTTTTGAGTACTGGTGGTCTGTTAGAGTTGATGGTTGTCACACTTCTGGGCTTTATTTCAAGGGGCAAGTTACCACCCTTAAAATGCTGCAACCAGATTTGAGGAAGTATGGTCAGATATTTTTTCAATTTGTTCTGCTTCCTATGATGAGCTGCTGTGGCTTTGATGCCCTGTTTAAAATAATGCCACAAAATTGACAAAATAACACTTGAAACAGTGAGTACATCAAGATAATACATATAATTATATATATATATATATAAACAACAGGGATACTCGACATTATATGGGTAAAAATACTTTCAGGTATAACATGGGAAAATATATGATCATTAATATAATTCTAAATATGCAATAAACATGTAAAAGTTGCTGAAAGTTTGATAGAGTTTCTGTGTACATAACATTAGTGCTTTTTCTATTATGTACCAGTATAAACAGGTTATTTGGGAATCTATCTCAATGACAAACAACATAGAGGAAGCCATGAAAAATAGCACTAGATAGTCAAGTTGAAGCCAGAAATCTTGAGACATTGTCTTTGTATATATGCTGATGATCATAGGGAATTAAAGGCAAGTTTATTGGAACATTGGGGATCCTGGGAATGAATACATACTTCTTTTTGTGTACCTAAGTAGTTTCTTTAATGACAAGTAGGAGAAGCAGCTTGGTTGTAGAACTGAGATGTATATGAAGCATGTTGCATGTCGAAACTTACAGTTGAAATCTGTTGAGAGGGACATCACACAGCTCAAGGACATGGAAAAATTCAATTGAATTCTGAATAGCCTAAGACATATCTGAAAATGTCAGTTAACTTGTTGAAATTTTCTGGGAATCTGTTCCAACAGATTTGAGTTTGTTTGACTGCATTATTCTTTGAAACAAGAATGCTTTTCTCCTCACAAGAGTTACTGATAGCCTCACTCATCTTGAATCCTATTTTACATTTAAAACAGCTGAAAAAAAATCAAGTTTAATATAATTTTAAAAATTTTGTCTGAAAATATTATACAAGAAAGAAAAAAGTCAAGTCTTTTTTTCTTTTATGCATTGGCAGAAAACATCTTTGAGGTCAACAACAGCTATCCTGACATCTTTTTCTACTAAGGTTACTCTCATGTATCAAACTACCTAAAATGTTATTACTTGACTGAAATACAAATTATAAATACAAAAGTTCTAGCACCATTGAGCTCTGGTGATGTCACAGATCATATTTAACTTTACTATTTGTATATTATTGACTTGACAGCAAACTCAATATCTCACTCCATTTTCTGTGAAATTACTTCATTTGTCAAGAAATACCATACTTCTCTCTTTGATGGCATTTTGTAACATTGGGTAAACTTTGAAGTCAACCTTTCAGAGTGTTATAACTGTTGGTCTTTCGCTTTCATGTAAAAAGGCACATTGTCATTTTTGCACAATTTTAGTATAGACATGTAAAAAAAGCTTTCAATATTAGCATAGACTATAATATTATAAAATCTAATTATAATTGATATTAAATTTTGTGCCCCTGTGAAAATATTTATTATAAAAGAGTTATAGAAAGACTTTAGATGCATATTTGAAATTAGCCTTTGAGAAAAGGTTTGTAAAAATAGAAACACTTTTACTGTACACTGACATGTGTGTAGACAGTTTTTTATAATAGAAATTTTGTAAAAACTATGCTAAATTTTTTATCATCAGATTCTTGAAATTGTTAGAATTAATCAGGCCAAAATAGAGCCTGTCAACAATATCTTTTGAATAGTCTGATGGTTATTTTTGCAAGATTATTAGTGTTGTTGACTTTCACAACGCAATGGCCAATGCATTCTTCAATCTTGAATGTATAATTCATCTAGAGCTTGATAGTTGTAATTATCAATAATTCCTACTTTTGATTAGGCTAAAAGAATATTAAAAGACTTTAATTTGAGGTGATATCATTAAATATATTAAGACAAAAACAAAGCAATATATCATTCACTTTGGGAAAATGTGCAAATAATAGATAGGGAACCTTAAACTTGACGTGAAGTCTGTAGGGGAAAGAAAGCTGTTTGCAAGAATCAGATAAAAACCTGTATGTATTGATATCAGTGTTATGTTGATATCTTTGCAGAGTGAAGTTAAAAAAACATATATCCTTCTAAGTGAAAAAAACTTATCTCCTATATCATCTGAAAGTAATAAATTTATTTACAGATGTATTCATTTACTTGATGTAAGTATTTTTCTTTTTCATTTTAAGTACAAAAAATGTTTCATGCTGTTTGCAGAATTTTCCTGGATCCAGAATTATGAGGGAGGACTGAAAAGTTCTCAGCCCAACCCAAACCTCTAAACCTCCAACACCTGATCAAATGACCAAACATCAGATTTTTTTTTTTATCTTAATCTCTTCTTGGTTGTTTTGAGAATTTGCAACACTTGTATTCTTAAAATGACACATACTGTTACTGAATTAAAATATATCCTTGGAAAAAACCCACAATGCATTGTGCAGAACATAATGAGAAAACCAATTTTGATAAGAAGATTAGTGTGAATAAATTGTGGAATACAAACAATGATTAATCTCAGAATTGTAGACAGTACAAGAACGGTCAAAGAATGCATCAACCAAATTGGATGAGAATATAAGTCTTAAACAGTTCATGGAATAATGCTGAAGATTCATCTCAATGTTTCAGACAATATTTTAATTATATTGTTGGTAAATTTCAAATTTATTTGCATCTCTTACGTGATTGATGCATAAGATTTTAACTTGATTTTTGGTGATTATCTGTTCATTTTTATGTTGCTACAGATGAAAAAAAAATGTTATTTGTAATAGGAACAAATGTTCAAAATCATGAATTGATAAATCTTAGCAAGATTTTCTTCAAGGAGTTTAGTTTATGTATGAAAATATTTATGGATTAGCTTTGTATTTACTTTCCTGTTATGTTTTATGATAATTAAAAAATAGCAGTAAGAAAATAAAGCTGTTTTAATATGTGATAGTTTTTAAAGCAAAGAGTGATATGTTCTTTTCAGTCAGAATGTGAGGCATTTTTTTCTTCCATTTTCAGATGAATAAAATGGAAAGCTCTCTTGATAAGTAACATATCATTTTTAAGATTAAAAATTCCCATTTTATGAATTGTTCAGTTGAATTATTTTTTTACCTTGGGGATCGTATCAGTACAATTCATGGAACTGACTCACAACTCACCTAACTCTAGTTAGGTCCCATGACATCTCAGTCCAGAATCACCTCCGTATATTGAGGTCTTCTGTTAGTATAAGTAGTGAGATTATATCCATTGCTGGCTTGCTAGGCCTGTCACATAGATTAGAGTACTTGATCTTCCCCAGTGATCATCGATCTGAGTACTGACCAGGCTCAATGTTGCTTAACTTTGATGATCAGATGAGAACTGGTGTTTCAACATGATATACCTGTGGAATTATGATAAGAAATCACAGAAAAAAATTTGAAACAATAAAATTTCCTTTTTAAAAATTCCAAAATTATCAGTGAATTTTTAAAATAATTTTATGCAATAAAGAGCAGTAAAAATTTTTCAGTGATTTGTAATGCACTTTTATATGGTTTCATTTTAGAAGAACATATGTTTAGAAGACATGTTTGCTCATGGTATAAGAGATGTTATGAATATATATAAAGGATTTTTTTTTCAGATGATCATCAAGATAATTTATTTTAATAAATTAAAAATAGTTTTCTTCTGATGTATCACTATGAACACAATATTTTGAATCAAAACTCAGAGAAATAGTAATATCTTGTTTGAATTAATTACATGGGTTTTAAGTGAGTTTATATAGATGAAATGTTTCCCCAAGATGATTTGAAAATAGTAAAAATTAAAAAAACAAAAAAAGAATTTTATCTACTTCTTGTCAATGCCATTTTAGCCTTAAAATCGTGTCTGACTTTGAGGTTGTCATTTGATGGAAACTTTGGGAAGCATTACTCAGAACATTTTAACTGCTAGATAAGAAATTCTGTCATTTTTTTCCTGACAAAATCCTGCTGGATATAAACAAAAATATTCTAATAACTAATATACTTGGTTTTGATTTATGAAAGACTTTGAAAAATAGAAAAATTTCAAAGTAAGGATAAAATGGAACTTAGCTACCAATCAGAGGGGACTTTATTGTCATAACATGAGTACCCTTCTATGGGATTATTTAGTCAGCAGTTTGACACCATTCAGTGACTTTGTGTACTGTATAACTATAGTGTTTGCATTATATGAATGGGTAGATTCTTCATATCTGTGGCTGACTTTTTGACAAGTATCACATCACCCATGTCGGTCAGCCTCTATATTCTCCAGATATGACTTCCTGTTACTTGTAGCTTTTCAGCTTTTCCCTGATGTTGAAATTACTGCTAAAAATGCCATGGATAGGATGAATATGATGAAGCAGATGATGTTGATCCTGAAACAGAAGCTTTACAGACTCTTTTTGAAAAGACAAATGAATGCTCTGATCAGTATGTGAAGTCCAAAGCAGAGTTCTTTAAGAGACTCAGGTGTCATTGCTCAAGATTATATTTCCAATGATATTACATGGTTGGACACATTCTGAACAGACTTTGTTTAAGAGCTTTTTTGGCAAAACATCAACTTTTCACTAAAATAACTTGAAATTATGATGTATGGAAAAATGAGTTTTGGCATTTTTAAACAGTCTCAGAGATTCACTCAAATTTATTCACAGATATCTGACCAAATGAAAACATTTTTCAGATTTTTCTTCAATTGAAGAAAAAAAAGAATATATTTTAAAAAAATAGTAGAACCTTTGTTTTATTGGTGATAACTTCTTCTTCTATGTCTTGTGTCCCTTCAGGCATAGGTATAAAGTTACATATGTGGAGCACCCAATTTGTACTCAATACAGTATTTAATGGTCTGCTATATTAGCCTAGTAAGCTTAGCTTAGTACATTTTTCTATGTGATATGTTTCTTCAGCATCTGGGTAATAATGGGTCTCTAGAACTTTCTGTCATTTTTTAGTTCTTATTAAAGTTTGAATTTTTGCTATCTCATAATTCCTGTTCTGCCAGCCATTTACACAAACTTGTTAGGTAGGTTATTTGCTGCTTTCCTCTGTCTCTCTTACCTTCAATATGTATTGTAAGTGTCTAATTTTCCTCTTTATGTGCTGTAGAAATTTCAATTATCTCTTTCTGATTCTATCTATAAGTGTCCTCTTTGTTTCTATTTTCCCTAAAACTTCTTTGTTACTAACATGTTCCATCCATGAAATTCTCAGCATCCTTCTGTAGAACCATATTTATGTTGCTTCAAATCTCTTCTTCATCTGTGAGGAGATTGTTCAGCATTCACTGCCATATAGGACAGATATCATGTAACACTTCAGAATGCTTTTCTTTGTTTCCAACAAAATTTCCGTGTTTCTTCATACTTTGCTTAGCTTTTGGTAGGCATCTTCCACTATTCCTTGGTGTGTTCAGATTTGAGTGTCACATTTACTGTCCTCTGTTAAAACAATTCCAAAATACTTAAGTTCATGTACTTGCTTGATTTTGGTGTCTTTAATTTGCAGTTTGCATCTTGCCCAATTCTCTTAAGCATGATGCATTGATTGATATGTTTTTTTTTTTTTACAGTTTATCAATCTTTTGCAGCTTACAAAATATTTTTAGAATATAAGAATTTTTTTTAAGATAATAATTATTTACTGATATAAGTTTACTCTTTAGCATTCAATCAATCCAAACCTGCTCCATAAATATTAGCTCATAATGTTCAACTCACCATAACCTGCCCCATGTATACTCTGCCATAATACATGATGAGATCATCACAAATAATGCAGGACCTCATGCAAACAGTGAGACTTTGACCACAAAATTGAGATTTGAGAGCCAATATTTAAGGGGTGGATTTCAGCATATTGAATGCTAAAAAGTTAATATAATTAATCCATATCTAGTGGGGAAAAGACATGGATTCATACCTTTCCCAAATGTATTTGCATGTAAGTGAAAATAACAAATTGCATGTAACAAACCCAATTGGAATTGGAACTCAGCTCTCTTATTTTCAATTCCAAGACATTATCCATTATACCATTTACACATCTTACAGCACCAGGTATTCACAAGTGGTTAACCATCTAGATACTGATCAGACTTGATGTTGATTAATTTTGGTGATCATAAAAGAACCGTTATTTCAATGTGATATGGCCATAAACCAAGGCCTTATAGAACCTGAAATTACTTGGGTAAGTTTGCTAGTACATCATAAGGTATGTTTTCTGTCAGGTTAGGAATATTTCATGTGAGATTTAGAAGTTATTTTCACTCTTTCAATTTTGTTATATTGCATTGTGTGTGTTAGTGTTTTTAATTTTATTGGAGGAATGGATTAAGATTCTGTGATTTTTATCTCTATGAATTTTATTCCTTTCTTATTATTTATTATTTGCTCTGGCAAGACAATAGACTTGGAGTCTGCTAAGAAGCAATGATGATGGAAATTGTGGGGTAGGGTAGAAGGAATTTAACTTGCAATTCACTGAAGCTAGCTTCAGAGTGATGTAACTAGTGGAAAATTGAGTTTTTTAAATTCTGCTTAATGATACCAGTGTGTGTATGTGTGCATATTTATTTTTATACTTTTAAGCTTGTATATGATGAGAGTCGTTGCATACATGTACAAGGATGCATCAATGTTTGTAGCTTGTGCTGAATTTTTGTTCTGAAACATTTACTGAATAATGTTCAAACTGCATGTTCTCTGAAATAGTGTTGGAATAAAGAAGACTATGTTAAAAATATACATTTATTGTGTAAGATAAAAACATTTTTCATCTTTAGGCTGCAAACCTAGTGATATTCCTATGTAGAGGAAAGTATATTTGTTGATGTACATATGTATGCTTCTCTCTCTCTCTGCAGTATATGGTGATTACCGTCTCCTCACCATTCGTATCACTCGTAATAGGTTCCATCTTGTTTTAGCCTCCATGGCTAATATTGATTAATTCATTTTCTACAGTTTATCAACTCTTTGAAAGCCAGAAAATATTTTTAGATTGTAAGAATTTTTTTTTTTTTTTTTTTTTTGAGATAATAATGGTTTAGTGATAAAAATCTTACTAATTAACCAATAGCTAGAGGGAGAACTGTTCTGAAGTGTATTTTTTGTGTAAATGAACTCAATGGGAATTGGAACTCTGCTCTCTGATTAACAATTCTAAGCCATTATCCATTACACTACCTGCACATCAAAACTTACACCACCTGCTATTTCCAAGTGGTCACCCATCTAGGTATTGACCAAACTTGACATTGCTTAACTTTGGTGATCCTACAGAAACTAATATTTGAACCAATTGCTGATAATATGACATTTGAGACCAGTATTTAATTTCATAAGTCTCATGCATATATAATAGATAACTTGTTTATATTTTTTTTTTAAATTGAGTTCACTCCATACAAAGCAGTAAAGCCATTAAGACACAGGGGTGATAATGGGTTTTAAAGAATTAGTAACAAAAATATTAGTAATGAGTGAGAAGAAAAAGAGTAATCAGGAGGACAGTAGTTAGCAATTGACATTGCATTTAAATTTTTGCAGATTAAAGTTGGCTGGAAATCATGGAGCTGGAAGGAAGTTCCACAAATGAGAAGTGTGAGAAAAGAAACTGTTAGCATAGAATTTATTGTTACATCTAGCTGATTCAACTGTATATTGATGAGATCTCAATGCCAGTCTAGTACTGCACATAAATTCAAAAAGTCTAGGTACCATAATGAAGAGTTCATCAAAACAATTACCATGAAAGTATTTATAGAAAAGGCTGAGGAGGGCCACCTTACAGCGGTGAGAAAGTGACTGAAACTGAGACACCAGATTAGGATCAATAAAATATATATACACACACACACACACACACTTTATTAGTAAGTATTTCCACATGTCAGGGGTCATATATTATTTAACCTGTTTGTCCTCATTATCCTTACTGCCTTCTATCTTCTCTTAGACTCATATTACACAACTCAGTCATTAACAATTTACCTTAAGTGGCTCAAGTAAACTTTAATTAAAAAGAAAACTAGAATTTTAATCACCATCTGTTGGTAAAATTTTTAAGATATATTTACATGAAGCAATATGTAGCGAGATTCAGCTTATAATAGCTAACAATACTAAAATATATTGGTTAAATAGTAGGACTTGTAAAAATCATTATTGACTCAAAAAATTATTAATGTAATAGTCACTTGCCAAAAAAGGAAAAATCAATATAAGAATCCAATATATATTTTGGCTTTAATTTTGGGAATCATTAGACAACATAAATCCTACAAGAAATACCCCCAAAATGATTGCTCTTAATTTTATTTTTCTCTTTTATTTTGTTGTTTTGC